TTGTGAAATTTGCTCAGCGTTCAAATGTTCTTTCGATGAATTTGTAGGAGAGAAAGTGGTCTCCCCGTCCTATTCCTCCGCCATCTTGGCTCCTCCTGTTTTCTCCTTTTGAAACTCTTATTGGTTAATTGCTGAACCTCCAAGATTGATCTTTGAATTTTCTTATATTTCATATATATTTATATTATTACATATTATGTAAATCTTACATATTATATTTTTATTGTGCTTCCCTCCACCTCCTCCCTTCATTCTTATTTTATTCTTTTTAAGAGTATATTCAACTTTCTTTTCCAATCCTCCTACTAAATATTTTATTTCCATTCTGTATTTAATTTCCAGGAGCTCTTAAGTCCTCTGATTACCCATGTTTTTTTTTTTTCCAACTCCTATTCTTTTCTCATGGGTGTGATCTCATCCCTTTATGGGTCTTAAATGCAGTTGTTTTGAACTTTTTTTCTGTATCTTGTTTCTGTTTCTTTATACTTCTTTTTTGTTCATTTGTCTCCGTGTCTTTCGTTTTGATGCTTTTCACAAACAACTGGCCACCTTTGGCCATCATTCATATCTAGGAGTGAGTCAATAAAATCTGCCTGTGTGCAGAGCTTGTCAGCTGCTGAGCTCTAGAAGTTTTCTTCTCACTGGTGAGCCTTTCTCTCTTTGGGGCTTCCCATGTATTTTCCCCTATCCAGACCCTTCTTCATTTCTTTCTAGATTTGGAAGTATGACTCAGACTTTTCGAATATTCCCCCTTCTCAAATTCTTTCTTTACAGAGTGCCTGCATGTGTATAGTGTACATAATGCAGATCTTGGGGTTCTGTCTCAGTTTATTTATCATGTTCAGAGGTTATGGCATGGCATTGTGCTCCTTCCTTTGATAACTATAAGTGTAGTTTGTTGATTTATTTTGTACGTGTTTTCTGTTTACTTCATTATGTCTTTGGGAAGAGAGATTTTATGATCTGGATTCATTTGTAATTTTACTGTAGCAGTTTTCCCCTACTTTTTGAATTCTGAATGTTTGTTATCTACAGAGTAGTACAATAATTTCTGTAGCCAGTACTCTGTTATTGAATTTTACTTTGTTCCTGGTTTTATGCATTATTACTATTGCTGTTGTGGGCATCCTTTTCCTTGCAATATTGGCCAAGGTTGTTATTTCTTTAGGATGGAATCCTCAGTGTAATTACTAGATCAAAGGATATAGTCAGTGAAGTCCTTAAAACTTATTTGTAAGTTACTTTCTAAATTGTTGAGTTGGTTTGTATTCTCTGTATCAGTTGGCATTGTTTATTTATTTATTTTAAATTAATTAATTTATTTTAATTGGAGGCTAATTACTTTACAATACTGTGGTGGTTTTTACCATACATTGACATGAATCAGCTATGGGTATACATGTGTCCCCCATCCCGAATCACCCCTCCCCACCTCCCTCCCCATCCCATCCCTCTGGGTTGTCCCAGTGCACCAGCTTTGAGCACCCTGTCTCATGCATCAAACTTAGACTGGTGATCTATTTCACATATGGTAATATACATATTTCAATGCTATTCTCGCAAATCATCCCACCCTCATCTTCTCCCACAGAGTCCAAAAGTCTGTTCTGTATATCTATGTCTCTTTTGCTGTTTTACATATAGGGTTGTTGTTACCATCTTTCTAAATTCCGTATATATATCTGTTAATAAATACTGTAGTGGTGTTTTTCTTTCTGACTTACTTCACTCTGTATAATTGGCTCCAGTTTCATCCACCTCATTGGAACTGATTCAAATGCATTCATCTTAATAGCTGAGTAATATTCTGCTGTGTATATGTACCACACCTTTCTTATCCATTCATCTGCTGGTGGACATCTAGGTTGCTGCCATGTCCTGGCTATTATAAACAGTGCTGCGATGAACATTGGGGTACACGTGTCTCTTTCAATTCTGGTGTCCTCAGTGTGTATGCCCCACAGTGGGATTGCTGGGTCATATGGCAGTTCTCTTTTCAGTTTTTTAAGGAATCTCCACACTGTTCTCCACAGTGGCTGTTCTAGTTTGCATTCCCACCGACAGTGTAAGAGGGTTCCCTTTTCTCCACACCCTCTCCAGCATTTATTGCTTCTAGACATTTTGATAGCAGCCGTTCTGACTGGCGTGAGATGGTACCTCATTGAGGTTTTGATTTGCATTTCTTTGATAATGAGTAATGTTGAGCATCTTTTCATGTGTTTGTTAGCCATCTGTATGTCTTCTTTGGAGAAATATCTGTTTAGTTCTTTAGCCTATTTTTTGATTGGTCATTTATTTTTCTGGTAGGTGTTGTTTTTTATAATTGAAAAGAATAAAACAATTTTGCCAAATGGAGAATAGTATTACATACTGCACATTTAATTTGCCCTTTTATTTGTCTCTTCTTTTGGCTGTTTTTGGTAGTGAGTATGGACAGTATTTAGATTTTTCTTACTGATTTATCTATGCTTGTTTAATTTCATCTGATATAGTATTACATACTGCACATTTAATTTGCCCTTTTATTTGTCTCTTCTTTTGGCTGTTTTTGGTAGTGAGTATGGACAGTATTTAGATTTTTCTTACTGATTTATCTATGCTTGTTTAATTTCATCTGATGGTTTTAAGGCTTTGTCATGTTGCAGATATTTTTTATTGCTTTCTTCTTACCTTTGTTTGCTTTTTAATGTGTCTTTAATTTCGGTGTGCACAAATAGTTTTTTAAAACATAACTTGTAAAAAAAATAATAACTTGTCCTTCAGATTTTTGGGTTTTGAAAAGCTTTCTTCATCCCAATATACTTTCTTTAGATTTCATTTTATAAATTTGTTTAGTCCATTAGTTTTTTTGTATAACATAAGGCAAAGAACCTCATATTATAGAATTTTTTCTCTGCATCAGTTCAGTTCAGTCACTCAGTCATGTCTGACTCTTTGTGACCGCATGGACTGCAGCATGCCAGGCCTCCCTGTCCATCACCAACTCCCAGAGCTTGCTCAAAGTCATGTTCATTGAGTCGGTGATGCCATCCAACCATCTCATCCTCTGTCATCCCCTTCTCCTGCCTTCAGTCTTTCCCAGCATCAGGGTCTTTTCCAGTGAGTCAGTTTTTCGCATCAGGTGGCCAAAGGATTGGAGTTTCAGCTTCAACATCAGTCCTTCCAATGAATATTCAGGACTGATTTCCTTTAGAATGGACTGGTTGGATCTCCAAGGGACTCTCAAGAGTCTTCTCCAGCACCACAGTTCAGAAGCATCAGTTCTTCAGCTTTCTTTATGGTCCAGCTCTCATATCCATACATGACTACTGCAAAAACCATAACTTTGACTAGATAGACTTTTGTTGGCAAAGTAATGTCTCTCCTTTTTAATAAGCTGTCTAGGTTGGTCATAACTTTTCTTCCAAGGAGTGTCTTTTAATTTCATGGCTGCAGTCACCATCTGCAGTGATTTTGGAGCCCTGAAAAGTAAAGTCTCTCACTGTTTCCATTGTTTCACCATCTATTTGCTATGAAATGATGGGGATGGATGCTATGATCTTAGTTTGCTGAATGTTGAGTTTTAAGCTAACTTTTTTTTCTCTGTACAGTTAAACTCATTTTTTTCTTGTCATTTATTATCATCTAGTTTTCAAATGATTTGAAAAGTCACTTTTTTGTAACATTTTCCACAACTGGAGTCTGTTTCTTGGCTTTTAAATCCTATTCTGCTTATCTTTTTATTCTAATGCAGCATACTTAAAAAAAAAAGACTGTAGCCTTATTAATATGTTTTGTTTTTTCTCTGGTAATGCTAGTCCTTGAAAATCTCCCAAGATGCTAGTTCAGGCTCAAAACTGTGAGGTGTCTTAGTCAGGGAACTGCCAAGAGGCAGTTGGTTCTGAATCCAGGCCAGAGGGAGACCAGTGCAAACATGGAACCTTGGAGCCACTTTCCTGGCACTCCCTAACATGGCCCTGATGAGAAGGAGCATGATCTCAGTTGGTGAAAGGGGTCGGTGAGCAGGTTCACTAAGTATACGTGTGAAGATTGGAGGAGGGTGGGATTTTGAAGCCAAATATGTAGTTACAATTAGTAATACTTTAAAAAAGCTAAATTACCTATTGAGTATAGAAGGCTCTAGAGGCACCAAAGCAAGGGAGTTTGAATGCCTCTTTCTTTCTGGATGGCTTTTTACTTGCTTCATTTATGACTTTCTTTCCTTCTCATGGAAGGCTGTTGAGAGGCTGGGGATAAGGAAGAGAAGAACAAAGAATAATGAGGATAGAGTCAAGACACTTCTATTTGTGTAATTTAAAATATACCTATAATATTTTTTAGAGATGCCTTCAGAACTTCAAATGTTTCAGTCCCATTGTACCCTTTTTTTTTTTAAATTGTAAACAATGACTGGTAGGTTTATTTCAGAATTTCTGCTTGGCCTAGGGCAAATATATCGATGGAATACAAAGAATTTACCAGCTTAAAGTCCATGTTCTTTTTTTTTTAATGGTAATTTTTACAAAAAAATTTTTCATTGAAATATTCTTGAAAGCAAAGTCTTTATCACTCCTGCTTAGCTTTCAGAAGTCCTCTTTGGTTGGAGAATCTGGTTCTATTCATAGCCATCACACAATCTTGACTGTGGCTGCAGCCTGTTCTTGCTTCTTATCTGCTATGTAACAGTTCCCAATTCTTGTAGTACAATGTAGATAATGCTAAACTATTCAATAAAATTTTACCAAAAGCAGAGGAGTAAGTGAAAGGACGTTAGCATAGCGAGTAACATGTAATGAGATAATTTTTCAAAGGAGATCTAGTTTTAGCCTTCTTCAGCTCTGCTTTCTCTCTACCTCCGGGATTGCTTCAAATTTACAGAAACCATCTTTTCTCTACCACTTGGGAGAACCTTCAAGCGTATGTAGACTCTAAATTTCAATCCCCAAAAAAGAAGACTTCATGATTGACACTGGGAATGCTGAAAATGGGCATGACTTATGCCTTCCACGAGAAATCATAACTAACTGTATTCCAGTAGCTACTATGAGACAGTCATATCTAGCTATATCCCAACAGGCTATTGTCTTTACTAGAGATATGCATGTGGTAGGTGGGTGGCAATCTGTCACAGCCTTTTAGATGATAAATCTATGTGTAATTTATCATATAAAATTATAGTGGGAAATGGCAACCCACTCCAGTATTCTTGCTTAGAAAATTCCATAAACAGAGAAGCCTGATGGACTATAGTCCATGGGGTCACATAGAGTTGGACACTACTGAGTGCACACACACACATTATATTGATGCTCATCTTGTGGCTTTTAAAATAAAGAATACAGTATTTTATAATAAAAACAACAATGGGCTAGAACAAGTAGACCTCGATTCTAGTCTGATTTACTAGTAAACAGTCTTGTCTCTTAGCCAGTGGCTCAGTCTTTCTATATTTTTGTTGAAAGATTGGGATATAATTAGCCTGTAATTTTACAATTTTATCTTTAATTGAATTGTTTAAATAATTATAAAATTTATACTTGAATTTTTCTCTTGATGATATATTAATCTCTTTTAATATGATTGACATATTAGTGAGGAATTGTTCTGATAGGAGAAAAAATAGCTTGTTTTACAATGATACATTTTACAGGACAGGATAGGAGAAAAAATAGTTTGTTTTACAGTGATACATTTTACAATACAGGCTCTCCATTGTGCCGACAGGGGACCTGCCTGTATTTAAAAGGGGCTACAGGAGCTCACTATGAGTTTTTTATGAAGTACATATTTGCCTCTTTATCACATGCAGATTTAGATGTTCTTTTTTTTTTTTTTTTTTAAGATTTAGATGTTCTTAAACAATTTAATTGTGTGTAGTTCACTGTATACTTAGATTCTGTACTTTCTAGTCTTCGTTCATTCATATATTTGACATTTCATCATTAAAATTTTTAAGTTGAATTTCAACAAAAGCACCATATGTTAAAATACTTGAAGAGTGAGTTATTTGGTACTGTTAGTTAAATATGGAACGATTCTTTTCTTCCTACTTATGTGTGATCTGTTTTTTTTCTCCCAGAGTGAAAAGCTGTTGTTATATGATACAGTACAGAGTGAGCTGGAGGAGAAGATCAGAAGGCTTGAAGAGGACCGGCACAGCATTGATATTACCTCAGGTAAAGGGAAGGCTGTGACTCACGTGTGAGCGACACTGAACCTCTGGTTTACTGAGGTGTCTCATCACATCTCGTCTCCTATACAAACGGTATATAAATCAGGTGTCCTAAAGAGCGGGCAGGAGGAAGACTGCTAAAAAATTTGCTGTGATTGTGAGTGTTGCTTTAATGGACTCATACTTCAGAAAGATGTAGAAAATGAAGCACATGAAAAGGAATAAAACAGAAGTACGACAGAACAACAGGCATAAGAATAATGTACTGTAAGAACAGTTAAGAATATTACTACAACAGAAGAGTAGTATTGGAAGACAGCTACAGTATATATTCTTTCCTCTTAAGTCTTGAAAGATTGTCACGTGGAAGAAGGAATAGAAGCCTTTTCTCTTGGTCCTACACAAACTAGGACAAAAGGATGGATATTATAAGGAGGCAGATTTTTGTCTCAAAAAAGGGAAATATTTATTAACAATTAGATTAGGCCAAAGTGAAATTGGCTTTTTCAGGGAAAGGCTTTCTACACCTTGGAAGATTTCCTGGGTTATCCTATGATTCTTGCGTGTGTACTATGTTACTTGTTATAAATTCTGTTTCTCCAGTATGGAGAAGGCAGGCTCCCGTGCCACTGTTCCATTAGTTGGGTGACCATGGGTGACAGTTGTTTTAGCTTTTCTGAGTCAGTCTGTTCGTATGATTGAAGTAATGAAACTGTCTGCCTGAGAGGTAACTTTGAAGATTAGTTGAGACCACTCATGTGATGAATATTTAAGTGCCTGACATTTATGTTCATCAGTTACTAGGCGTTAAGTGCCAAATTGAATTTTGCTCTAATGAAAGCAGAGGAAAATTCATGAATATATAGCTGCTCATGAAATTATATCTAGTCATATATATATATATAGTATATACCCATATTTATATCATATAAACATAGCCACCAATGCAGTTTTGCTACTATGAAATTATAGTCTTTTTTTCCCCTTTGATCTCAAGAAATCAGATAATACTTAATTTTTATTTACTTGCCAGAGCTGTGGAACGATGAGCTTCAGTCAAGAAAAAAGAGGAAGGATCCTTTCAGTCCTGACAAAAAGAAGCCAGTTGTTGTGTCAGATATCCTTTTTCAAATTTTCTGTTTTTTTTAAATTTTTTGTTGCTGTTTTAATGTACTTTTTTGCACTGTGCACTCTGTAACTTTTATTAGTATACATTGTCTTTATTTGCATAATCCTGTAATAAGAAAAGATGATTTTAAAAAATGATTGAAAGCAGAAGGGTATAGTTTAGATTAAGCGAGGTAGAGAGGATAAGAAATTTAGCCATGATCTCAACTTTGAAAATTAATATGGCTTTGTAGATCACAAGGGCTTTGAAATGAAACAGCTGTTTATTATATAGCATGATTGGTTAATTCTCATGTACTTTTTAACATTTTTAATGTCTCTGAAACTGGTATGTCTTTAAATTAATGTATACATTCAATCTTGGCATTCCCTATGGTACCCTCCCCTGGCTCCTGCTTTCCCCTCACCCACCTCAAAATAGTGATTAGGTTGTTGGTGTATCTTACTGTCAGAGACACCATAGGATTAAGAGAATATAGTTATAATATCTGAAGTACTAGAACATACTTATGCCGGTACTAAGTTTTTTGAAAAACAGTTTGGAGTCAGAATTCAGCATGTTGAAGGTTTCTGTCTTAAGTCATTCTTCCAGTCTCTGAAAAACGGAAATTTGGAAGTGTAGTTTAAAATTGAAATTCTTATAGCTAAACTGACCTTGACTTTTCAACGTCCGTATATAGTTTATATGTTACAAGATCTTGATATTCTTGAAGACTGGACAACAATAAGGAAGGTATGATTAAAGAGCAATGGAATTCAAGTATATTTTTTGTAGTCTACTTTTTAAGAGTCTATAATTTTTCACTAATATATCAAAATATTGTTATAAATATGCTTTACTTTGCAACAGTCTCTCTAAGGCAGTCATTACTAATACAGATAACTGTGGATTGCAAGAGTATTTTAAGAGAGGCATGTTAACTGTTTGATTGTATTTTTTCCTGTGATAACGTAATTAATCATTTATGCAAAAGTATGGAAAAGTGTTTAGGTTGCCCCAAAATAGTAATGAATTACCATTCTGTGCCTAGTTCTTAGCCTGGTACTGGCTCACAGAAGGCACTCAGATATATTTGTTGAATGAATGAAAGTTGAGTGAATATTTGAACCTTTATTATACATTTTTGCATTTTGTCATTAAACATTGAAATGTTAGAAGATTTTCTGTGCCTGTTTAAAAGTGGAGACTTATTTTCCCATTAAAATTTTCCATTCTCAGAAGCTTCTCAGTTGAGAATTTGAGATTATATTAGGTATTGATAACATCTCTAGAAGAAATTTTTATTCTTTTTATATTCCCATGGTTTTAGACATTACCAATTTATTGAAGCAGATCATGTTTCACTGTGTTTGTTATTAAGCTTGTAAGTTTTATATATTAAATGGATATCGAAATATACTTTGATTTTGAACTCAGACATCTTTCTTCTTTTTTTTTTAATTAAGGCAATGGCTACACTTGGTCCACATAGAGTGAAAACAGAACGTAAGTCATTTTGTCTGAGTTCAGAAATCTTCTCTTTGGAGACTTTTAAAGTCATCTACATATTAAACCACTCCCCCATCACTGGTTTCATTTCATCAGTGGACACTATATGCAGAACTGTGAAAAATTCTTCTGGAGTATTTGCCTCATGTAAAAGTTTTGCAATTTCTAAATGGAATGTATTTCTTCTTTTAGTGTTTCAACTGCATTACAATTGCTGATAATGGATCAGTAATCTTAAAAGTATTTATTTAGTGCTTTTTAATGGGCTCAATAATTCTATAGGGGAGGTGTCTGGAGTCCGTGGATGGCCTTCACAGAGACTGTGAATAGGAATTGTGGAATTGAAATTCCACAATCCTCTGGAATTGTGGGCAAAATTACTTCTGTATCTATATTTTCTACGAGAGAGATTAGAATGCTTGCAGTGGGGTCCATCAAAAATCCAGAAATCACTGCCAAAGTAGTGACAGACATTATTGTCTAGAATAATTTCTCTGTTCCTACATTCTTTCACTATATAGATTTGAGCCATGGATTCCTTTAAGAGTCTCACTACACTGTTGAATGCGTCTCCTCCCCAGCCCCTGTTATCTTTAGCATGTGTATTCTTTGTTTTCTTCATGGCACTTACCACAATTTGTAATTTTTTGATTGTTTACATGTTTACCTGTCTCCTGAGAGAATCGTAAGCTCCACAAAGGTCAGAAATCTGTCTGTTTCAGTCACAGTGCTCAGAAAACATTTGTTGAATGAATGAATGAGTGAATACTTACTGAAAACCTTTTACATACCAGGCACTTTTTGAGGTCAGTGAATGCAGTGGTACAAGACTTGAATCTTCCTGGAACTTCCTTGAGGGAGGCAGAATGATAATGTATATGTAAATAGATAACTAACTAGATAATGACAAATTGTAATAATTGCTATGAAGGAAATATAAAGCTGTGAGAAAGATTAACGAGGAGTGGGTAGAGTGGTTGGGGAAGACCTTTCTGAGGTGGTGACATTTGAATGATGCAGAGGGGCGTATTTAATGGTGTGCTTTTGACAGTGTGCTTCCATAAAGAATTTTTTTTTTCTGCATGAGTTTATCTGATGAATCTCAAACCATTTCTAGAATTTCAAAATGAAAATTCTACGGAGGGCATTTGCTTTTTAGAATCAAAGGCCTGGGAAATTCTTGGAATATATGTTAAACTTTGCTTTTTTGAAAGTGTCAGTTGAGACAATAAAAAGTGTCAGGCAAGACAATATGAACAAGTATAATTTTCAGTGGAATTATGATAACTTAGATTTTAAATCTTACTTAAAATTGGCACTAGTAAAGCAGAATGCATCATCTCTCCTCCTTACACTTGTCTAGTTATTGATTTATTATATATTGTTTGTGTGTGTGTTAGTCATTCAGTTGTGTCCGACTCTCCGTAACCCCATGGACTGTAGCCCACCAGGCTCCTCTTTCCATGGAATTTCTCCAGGCAAGAATACTGGGTTGCCATTCCCTTCTCCAGGGGATCTTCCCCACCCAGGGATTGAACCTGAGTCTCCTGCTTTGCAGGCAGATTCTTTGCCATCTGAGCCATCAGGGTTTTTCAGTGGAAATATGACAACTCAGATTTTAAATCTTACTTAAAACTGGCATTAATAATGAGTAATATATCTGCCCTCTTGCACTTGTCTAGTTAATTGATTTATTATATATTGTTTAGCTTTATTAAATAGCTCTATTAAAAACTGAATTATATAACAAATGTAGGAAATGAAATTCTCTTTGTTTTTATTAGATGTAGATTTGTTATCTAAAAAATATTTTTAGTGTTTTTTCACATATATGCGTGGATTGGTATTAATGCTTAAGTGTTCTGCACTTTTGTTCTTCTGATAGTGTCTTATTAATATAATGGTTTTTGAACTGATCCCTTTAGCACCCGTGAAACTGGAAAAACACCTGCACAGTGCTAGATCTGAAGAGGGAAGGTTATACTATGACGGTGAATGGTATATACGTGGACAGACGATATGTATTGACAAAAAAGATGAATGTCCTACAAGGTAAAAAGCCTTTATTGTTTCAATGCTGCTTAGTATTAGAGTGTACTACGTTGTTGTTGGTAAATTTTTGCTGCTTGTGTAGTGCATTCATAATACATTAATATTTGCCTATGGATTTCTTTCTTCTCGTGATGTATGATTTGATTAGCATGTTTGAACACCGGTGTTATGTTATTCACTAGAGTTACATATTAAGTTCATGGACACAAGCATTAACATAAGTGAAAAGATTAGAATTATTTAGCCAGGTAAGAAATCCCATTTGTTAATTCTTACAGTAGATGACTTGTTATGGTTCTTGTATTATGACCTTTAAACCAGACTACTATGAATTTGACAGTGTGATTCCACCGTGTGGCTCTTAATTCTTAACTTTTGGAGGAATATTTTAGTATTTTGTATAAAAAAAATCGCATCTATTAGAATGGGAAAGGAATTGAAAATTAATGAAAATTTAGAGTGATGGTAATTAAAGTATAACTTGCAAACTGAAAATTGCCTTTTAAAAGATTCAACCTGTCTGGGCTTAAATAAAGTTTGTATAGTTATTTATAGAGCCTTCTAAGTTTTCTCTGGTGTGATCTTTGGAAAATATTAATGTGCCTCACTTCTTTAGTTCCTTTAGTAGTTTTTTATTTAATCCTCAGAGTTTTTTTTGTCCTCTACAATAAGAAAATAACTTTTTCTAGGTAGTAATAGTAAATAAAGTGTTTGCATTTAGTATTAAGTACTCATTTCAGGAGCAAACTTTTCTCATAAAAGTCCATTGAGCTAATTAATTACTAGGTTATATATATAATGCCCCTGGGTTTTTTGCTTTATCTTCTTGCTTTTGAGTCATATAACTGCTACTATTTAGAATCTGTGTGTGTGCATGCTAGTTGCTTCAGTTCTGTCAGATTCTTTGTGATCCCATGGACTACAGCCTGCCAGGCTCCTCTGTCCATGTGATTCTCCAGGCAAAATACTAGAGTGGGTTGCCATGCCCTCCTCCAGGGGATCTTCCTGACCCAGGGATCGAATCCATGTCTCAGATATCCAATATTGGCAGGTGGGTTTTTTACCACTAGCACCACCTGGGAAGCATACATATTATATTATATTATAAATATATGTACATATATATATATATATAATACCCCTGGCTTCTTTGCTTTATCTTATTGCTTTTGAGACTTATAACTACTACTGTGTAGCATAAATGTGGTTAGAAAGGAAATGCTTGTGCTCAGTCACTAAGTTGTGTCTGACTCTTTGCAACCCCTTGGACTGTAGCCAGTCAGACTCCTTTATCCATGGGACTTCCCAGGCAAGAATGCTGGAGTGGGTTGCCATTTCATTCTCCAGGGGAAGGCTCCAGGGGATCTTCCTGCACCATAGATCAAACCCTTGACTCCTGTATTAGCAGGTGGATTCTTTACCATTGAGCCACCAGGGTAGCCCTAAAAAGGAGATAAAATAGCATAAAAGAGGATTAAACATAAACATAGTTTTAGAAAGACTTCTGTTAGGTTGGTGCAAATGTAATTGTGGTTTTGGACTGTGAGTTTTAAATCATTGTTACTAGGTTCAAACACATCTTTATTAATCAAAATAGGAACCATTACAATCAACACATTTTTGCCAATGAAAAATGAGTTTATTTCTGTAGCACAAAAATCCATGCTTCGAGAGATGATGAACTCTTTCTTAGAAAACATTTTCTGCACCCTGCTGGTTGTAGAAGCGTTTTCCCCACAAGAAGTTGTTGAGATGCTTGAAGTGGTTGTCAGTTGGCATGAGGTTAGGTAAATATGGCAGATGAGGCAAAACTCGTATCCCAGTTTGTTCAACTTTGAAACAATGGTGGTGTGATGTGCGTTTGGGTATTTTCGTGGAGAAGAATTGGACCCTTTCTGTTGCATGCTGGATGCAAGCATTGCAGTTTTCAGTTCATCTCATCAATTTGCTGAGCATACTTCTTAGATCTAATGGTTTCATCAGGATTCAGAAAGCTGTAGTGGATCAAATGGGCAGCAGACCACCAAACAGTGACTGTGGCCTTTTTTGGGGGTAAATTAGGCTTTGGGAAGTGCTTTGGAGCTGCTTCTTGGTCCAACCACTGAGCTGGTCATCCAAAGTATTGGAGAATCATCTTCAACATCAGTCCTTCCAATGAACACCCAGAACTGATCTCATTTAGGATGGACTGGTTGGATCTCCTTGCAGTCCAAGGGACTCTCAAGAGTCTTATCCAACACCACAGTTCAAAAGCATCAATTCTTCAGCACTCAGCTTTCTTTATAGTCCAACTCTCACATCCATACATGACTACTGGAAAAGCCATAGCCTTGACTAGATGGACCTTTGTTGACAAAGTAATGTCTCTGCTTTTTAATATGCTGTCTAGGTTGGTCATAACTTTCCTTCCAAGGAGTAAGCATCTTTTAATTTCATGGCTGCAGTCACCATCTGCAGTGATTTTGGGCCCAAAAAAATAAAGTCAGCCACTGTTTCCACTGTTTCCCCATCTATTTGCCATGAAGTGATGGGACCGGATGCCATGATCTCAGTTTTCTGAATGTTGAGCTTTAAGCCAACTTTTTCACTCTCCCCTTTCACTTTCATCAAGAGGCTCTTTAGTTCTACTTCACTTTCTGCCATAAGGGTGGTGTCATCTGCTTATCTGAGGCTGTTGATATTTTTCCCGGCAGTCTTGATTCCAGCCTGTGCTTCTTCCAGCACAGCGTTTCTCGTGATGTACTCTGCATAGAAGTTAAATAAGCCTTGACGTACTCCTTTTCCTATTTGGAACCAGTCTGTTGTTCCATGTCCAGTTCTAACTGTTGCTTCTTGACCTGCATAGAGGTTTCTCAAGAGGCAGGTCAGGTGGTCTGGTATTCCCATCTTTTCCAGGATTTTCCACAGTTTATTGTGATTCACACAGTCAAAGACTTTGGCATAGTCAGTAAAGCAGAAATAGATGTTTTTCTGGAACTCTCTTTTTCGATATCCAGCGGGTGTTGGCGATTTGATCTCTATAATCAGTGTTGAGTTCTTCAACAACTTCTCGTGTAGTTGTAATAGGATCAGCTTCGATGATGGCTCTCAATTTCATTGTCAACTTCTGGTGACCGGCCGCTGTACTTCTCATCTTCAAGCTCTCAGCACCTTTGCAAAACTTCTTGAGTCATTACTATACTGTATGTTCATTAGCAGTTTCTGGGTCAAATGCATTGATGTTGTGAGTTGTCTTTGATGCTTTATGACCCATTTTGAACTCGAATGAGAAAAATCACCCAAATCTGCTTTTTGTCTAGCATCATTTCCCTTGTCTAAAATAAATGTAAAATACAGAGCCAAGTAATAAGTCATTAGCAAAAATACATAAAGTGAGAAATGTATATTAAAAAATGATGTATAACATAACACATTTATTTAAGAATGTATTCCAATATCAAATGGCAAAGTTCAACAATGCAAAACCGCAGTTACCTTTGCACCACCCTAATATATAAAGATTAATAGTGTTTAAAAAAAAATCTGTTTGAGTATCATAGATGCTTGACACTGGGAATTAAGATTTGTATTTAGAACATATCCTACAACCATATCAATATGAGTTGGAGCTGTAATACCATAGATAAGGAGTGGTTTTAGCTCCACTTTTTTGTCTTTTGGAGGTGGAGTGGGAATGGACAATGTGCTTTTAATGGTTCCAAGAGTAAAATTTAACAACTCTATTAAGAAAAGAAAGGAGACAATTGTGTTGCTGAATGTGGTATTTTTGGCCGCATGCCCTGCTAGTAGCATTCCGATAAATGACAATTACATACCTGAGTCTGTCCTTACAGTCCAGCTATTGTGGTTTTATAGCTAATGCTCTAAAATGAGTGGAGGAGGCAGACTGTCATTCATTCATTCATATTTTTTTTTCTTTTTAGTGCTGTAATTACAACAATTAACCATGATGAAGTTTGGTTTAAGAGGCCTGATGGAAGCAAATCTAAGCTTTACATTTCACAGCTACAGAAAGGAAAATACTCAATTAAACATTCGTAATCATGATTTAAGTGTTATCTAAATCTACCTTATTAGTGTTACCAAGTATGATGTGCCATGGGAATAAAAAAATGTATTCATTAACTTAATATTCTCATTAAATCATGAGAGACTGTGTATTTATAGGTAGTATTCTAAGTAAACCTCATGTTGATATGTTATTAAAAGAGACAGTAATAAAAGTTTAGTCATGATCATTACATTTATTTGCCTTTTTGATCCAATGACCAATAGGTGTATATGGTAGGGGTTTCTTACTAAATTTTTTTCTTTGGTTTTTATGTAAATCTGTCTTACCTTTAGTGAACTGTGTTAGCAATGGCTACATTTATCTGCAGTTTTCTTGATTTTCAAGATCTTTTCTCTGATCATGTATTTGTAAATAAGCCTGATAAGATGTTTCCTATAAATGGTTTGTAATAGCACATTCGTGTTAAATCAGAAATGAAATTTAAACGTATATACGTGCATATGTATAGATGGCTTCATCAGCTTATTTAGAACTGATGGCCTTACTTTACAATCTTATTTTACCCAAAATTAAGCTATTGGGCTTGAAAGCTAAAAGGAGCACTTTTATAGACTAGCAGCTTTCCTTCTCCTCTTCCTTGATTGTATGGTTGTGACCTATTTTTACAGATCATACTGTATGTTGATTAGCAAGATTAGTGTCAAGTAATAACATGCTTCTTCCTGTGTTTCTTGTGAATCTTTGGAGGGCAGGTATTGATGCCTGATATTTATGATACAGTATGTAAGTGGGTGGACAGTAACTGACAGTATTGTGGTACTTGCTATACATGTCTGATCTTTTGAAACAGATTTTTTAGTAAGCATTTTCCAGAGGTAAAACTAGGTTCATATCCTAATTTTATTTCTAGGGCAAAATAGACAGGGATGATCTCCTTGAATCTATTCCCAAATTAATACTTTTATCTTCGGTGTTTCTACACTTTAAGGCCACTTCGTGCAATTTAGAAAGTATTGGCCTCTCTTCCCCTAGTCACATTCAGAATTAACTTTTAAAACCTCGGGAACAGTACAGAGATTGAAGCCCTCAATATGGCAGCACAATTGGCTGTAGTATGTATTAGGGTACAACCAAATCAGGTATTCCTGGCGGTCTTATGCACTTTAATTTCTGTTATATTGAGACTTAAGAGGATGAAGAAGAGATCTACTTGTTAACACTTAGGGCAGGAATATCTGCATTTTTCCGTTTGTTTTCTCACTGTTTTACCTCTGCAGACATCTTCCTGTGCAGATCACTACTTCAAAATTGCCAAATGTTAATTAAAATATTTGACTTCTGAAATTCCTTGTCAGCAAAATTATGAATGTTGTTCTGTTTCTAATTAACCTTAGCAAATGTACATAATGTCATAATCTGATAGTATTTGACAGTACTTATGTATACAATGTTTCATAAGCATTTTTAATAAGATTTGTATTTTTAAATTTAGTATATAATAAAAAGATGTGTTTGAGTGTCATTCGTAGTGTCTTGAATGACTTGTGCATGAGTTCTTTTATTTATAACCTGTCTACTTCTGAGAAGGATTTGAGCCAGTTAACATGAATAGATATGGAGTGTTGAACAAATGTTACTGCTTCTCTATTTCAACTTCTGTTGCAGATATTTAAGATGGCTAAGTTATACTTAAATATATGCATATATGTTCTACTTTAATAAAAATATATTGAATAAGTTCTGAAATTTTAAGTAAAAGTCTTTATTTTAAAAACCATGATTTAGCACATTTACTTTCAGAACTTCAATGTTTGTATCATATAAAACAAATTCCATAAAATTGATACTGATTGAGGTAAGCATATGCTTGTCTGTGATTGAAGTACTATAAAATAGATTTCATTTTGTCAGTTTGCCATTTGACTTCTGGTCAAATAGTTTAGTTTAGGGGAACTGTTCAGTTCAGTTCAGTTCAGTTGCTTAGTCGTGTCCGACTTTTTGCAACCCCATGACTGCAGCACGCCAGGCCTCCCTGTCCATCACCAACTCCCGGAGTTTACTCAAACTCATGTCCATTGAGTTGGTGATGCCATCCAGCCATCTCATCCTCTGTCATCCCCTTCTCCTCCTGCCTTCCATCTTTCCCAACATCAGGGTCTTTTCCAGTGAGTCAGTTCTTCGCATCAGGTGGCCAAAGTATTGGAGTTTCAGCTTCAGCATCAGTCCTTCCAATGAATATTCAGGACTGATTTCCTTTAGGATGGACTGGTTGGATCTCCTTGCATTCCAAGGGACTCTCAAGTCTTCTCCAACACCACAGTTCAAAAGCATCAATTCTTCGGTGCTTAGCTTTCTTTACAGTCCAATTCTCACATCCATACATGACTACTGCGAAAACCATAGCCTTGACTAGAGGGACCTTTGTTGGCAAAGTAATGTCTCTGCTTTTTAATATGCTGTCTAGGGGAATTGTTAGAATCTGCAAAATGTGATGTAGCAACTGCTGGTAACCTTACAATCAGCCTCTGTCTTAGGATCATTATGTGGCCTTTCCTGTCTTAACTTCCAGGATTTCATGTTTAGTCTATCCCTCCCCAACATTTCCCATTAAAATAATGTAATCATTACTAATCTAGTTCATCACTAAAAATAGTTAGCGAACGGTAAATGCACACTCCTTTTTGTCCCTTCTTCTCACTGGCCAGAGTACTTTTCATTGCAAACTTCTTTCACATAAAAGTCGTTTTGATATATGTATGGTTACTCAGTACTCAGATACCTCTGGACAGAACCATATACAATCTTAAATAATTGATAATTATTTTTAAAAGAAGAACAAGAGTGTTGTCTGTTATTTCTGAATTTGATTTTGGATCCACTAAGTCCAGTACACTAAAATTGAATTAAAATGAATTTATAAGATAAGGAAAATGGATGTAGGATAAATGTATACACTAGTTAGGATTTATGTGGTTTCTTGCCAAGTTGAAATATAAACAATTTTAATTGCTAAAGATGAGGAAATCTGAAGTATTTTTAAAAGGACATGCAAGCTCAGAATGGAGTTAGGGAAAACACATGTTCCTTACGTTGTCTTCATGGATGAACTGCCAGAAGTATGCCTGATACATCAGGTGGGATTAATTGAGGCATTTCCATCATTGGTCACTGTGGCTCAGAGTCTTGTCCTTTACCTTCATAGGCCCCAGAACTTAAACTTTATCCATATGCCCTTTTGTGGGCTGAATTGTGTCTGCCCCTCCCCCAAATTCATATGTTAAAGCCATCATACCCATTACCTCAAGACGTGACTGTATTTGGAGATGAGGCCTTTGAAGAGGTGATTAAGTTAAAATGGGTGTTTACATTAGGCCCTCATCCAGTCTAATGTCCTTATATTTTTTTATTTTCAAAATTTCTTTTGAGGAAATTTGGACACAGAAAAATTTGGACAGCAGATGTGTGCACGCAGAGGAAAGACCATATGAAGACAGAAGTCTACCACCTGCAAGCCAAGGAGAGAGGCTTCAGGAGAAACCAAACCTGCTGACACTGATCTTGGATTTCTAACCTCTAGAACTGTGAGAAAATGCATTTCTGTTGTCTAAGCCACCCAGTCTGTGGTATTTGTTACGGTGACTCTGTCAAACTAGTAACACGCCCTGAGTTGACCACTCTGGGAAAGTTAGACCAACTCACTCACAGTGGATTGAAGTGACAGCTGTGTGTCAATTTAATAATTTACATTGGGAAATATAGCTGAGGAGGAGACCTGACTCAAGTCAACTACTTGGCATATTGTTTCCTTCTAGGAAAATGTGTGAAATCAAACTTGGAATCCAAAGATTAAGTTTTGTTGAAACCTTAGGGAGTCCACCCATCCTCTCATTATGCAGGACACATTGTTATAATCTGATTTTTAAAAAATTCTATTGAAGTGTAATTGATTTACAATCTTAGGTTAATTTCTACAGCAAAGTGATTCTTGTATACATATAATTCTAATTCATATTCTTTTCCATTATGGTTTATCACAGGATATTGAATATAATTCCCTGAGCTATACATTAGGACCTTGTCATTTATCCATCCTGTATAGTTTGTATTTGCTAGTCCCAAACTATGAATCCATGTTTCCCTAACACTGCTTCCCACTTGGCAACTGCAAATCTGTTTCCTATGCTTGGAAATCTATTTCTGTTTTATATATATGTTCATTTATGCTTTATTTTAGATTCCACATATAAGTGATATCATATGGTATTTGTTTTTCTCTTTCTTACTTCGCTTAGTACGTTAATCTCTATGTCCATTCATGTTGCTGAAAATGGCATTATTTCATTCTTTTTATGGTTAGTAATCCATTGTACATATACACCACATATTTTTTTTTTAATGTGTATTTTTACTTACTTGGCTGTACTGGGTCTTAGTTGCAGCATGCGAACTCATGTTGAGACATATGTGATCTTAGTTCCCCCACCAGGGATTGAACCCAGGCCCTGTGCATCGGGAGCACAGAGTCTTAGCCACTGCATCACCAGGAAAGTCCCAACACCACATCTTCTTTTTCCATTCATTTATTGATGAATATTTGGGTTGTTTTTATGTCTTAGCTATTGTAAAATACTGCTGCTATGAACATAACATAGAGGCGCATGTATCTCTTTTAATTACAGTTTTGTCTGGATGTATGCCCAAGAGTGGGATTTCTGAATCATGGAAACTCCATTTTTAGCTTTTGATTTGGTTTTTCCTAGTGTGCTGCTGACTGGGATCTCACTGTGAAGGCCAGATGCACAGCCCCCCTCTCAGTTCTTTCTATACTATGTACTTTGCCCCTCTGCCCTGTTTATTGGACCAGTGTGATCGCTGGCTTGTGAGCAGCCAGCAATAATAATGCTTGTAATTTGAACGCCTGCCATGTGCTGGGAAATTTTTTTTAATTAATTTATTTTTTATTGAAGGATAATTACTTTACAGAATTTTTCTGTTTTCTGTTAAACCTCAACATGAATCAGCCACAGGTATACATATATCCCTTCCCTTTTAAACCTCCCTCCCATCTCCCTCCCCATCCCACCCCTCTAGGTTGATACAGAGCCCCTGTTTGAGTTTCCTGAGCAACACAGGAAATTCCCATTGGCTCTCTATTTTACATATGGTAATGTAATGTAAAGAATTGATGCTTTTGAATTGTGGTATTGGAGAAGACTCTTGAGAGGCCCTTGGACTACAAGGAGATCCAACCAGTCCATCCTAAAGGGGATCAGTCCTGGATGTTCATTGGAGGGACTGATGTTGAAGCTGAAACTCCAATACTTTGGCCACTTGATGCAAAGAGCTGATGCATTAGAAAAGACCCTGATGCTGGGAAAGATTGAAGGCAGGAGGAGAAGGGGTTGACAGAGGATGAGATGGTTGGATGGCATCACTGACACAATGGACATGGGTTTGGGTGGACTCCGGGAGTTGGTGATGGACAGGGAGGCCTGGCATGCTGCTGTTCATGGGGTCGCAAAGAGTCGGACATGACTGAGCGAATGAACTGAACTGACTCATTGTAGTTTTGATGTGCATTTCCCTAATAATGAGCGATGTTGAGCATCTTTTCATGTTTGTTAGCCATCTGTATGTCTTCTTTGGAGAAATGTCTATTTAGGTCGTTTTCCCAATTTGTGATTGGGTTGTGTGTTTTTCTGGTTTTGAGTTGTATGAGCTGCTTGTATATTTTGGAAATTAATCCTTTGTCCAATGTTTCATTTGCTATTATTTTCTCCCATTCTGAGGGTTGTCTTTTCACTTTGCTTATAGTTTCCTTTGCTGTGCAAAAGCTTTTAAGTGTAATTAGGTCCCACTTGTTTACTTTTGTTTTTATTTCCATTACTCTAGGAGGTGGGTCATAGAGGATCTTTCTTTGATTTATGTCATTGAGTGTTCTGCCTATGTTTTCCTCTAGAAGTTTTATAGTTTCTCATCTTACATTTAGGTCTTTAATCCATTTTGAGTTTGTCTTTGTGTATGGTGTTAGGAAGTGTTCTAATTTCATTCTTTTGCAGGTAGCTGTCCAGTTTTCCCAGCACCATTTATTGAAGAGGCTGTCTTTGTCCCATTGTATATTCTTGCCTCCTTTGTCAAAAATAAGGTATCCATAGGTGCATGGGTTTCTTGGCTTTCTATCATGTTCCTTTGGTCCGTATTTCTGTTTTTGTGCCATTACCATACCGTCTTGATGACTGTAGCTTTGTAGTATAATCTGAAGTCAGGAAGGTTGATTCCTCCAGCAGCATTCTTCTTCCTGAAGCCTCCTTTAGCTATTCGGGGTCTGTTGTGTTTCCATATGAATTGTGAAATTTTTTGTTCTAGTTCTGTGAGAAATGCTACTGGTAATTTGATACAGATCGCATTAAATCTGTAGATTGCATTTGGTAGTACAGTCATTTTCACAATATTGATTCTTCCTACCCAGGAACATGGAATATCTCTCCATCTGTTTATGTCATCTTGATTTCTTTCATTAGT